GTATTTTGTCACATAAGAGACTCAGGTCATTAAAAAAAAAATAAGCAATAGTTAACCACCTGCATAGGGCTGAGTGTTAGCTTGCTCGTAAATTGCTTTCCCTGTGAACAGAAGACATGAATTCGATCCCTCAGGACACAGCAAAGAAAATATCTGGGTATGGATATGAAATGTAATTCCACAACGGGGGAGGTGGACACAGGTGGATCACTGGCTCAAAATTTAAGATGGATGGAACCCGATCCCAAGGAATGGCATCTGAGGTTATTCTCTGATATCCAAATACGCTCATGTGCACACATCTGTATTTTCATAAATGTGCACCTACACACACAAACACACACACACACACACACACGCACACACACACCTGTATACATAGATCATTCAATGTGAGAAGAGTTTTAAACAAACTATAAGAAACAAGGGAAGATACAACAAGGAGGATGAGGAGGAGGGCAATTGTTTGTTATTGTTATCATCGGTGCAGGAGGAGGGACGGGAGGAAAAGGAGGAACAGAAATTAAAGTATCATCTGACCAAATTCAGAAAAGAAGTTAAACCAGGAAAATTAGACAGAAAGGCCGGGTAAACTACTAAACAGTGTTTCAAGCACAGTGCAAGACTATTTTATCTCATTTTGTTAAAACTGGATGCAGGGTGAAATGCTATCTTAATTTTGTCAGTTTTGTCTTACACATTCTGGGAGCCATAGGAAGAGGGCCCGAACCATGAAACTGAAGTAAAATATGTCTTTCAGGGTATCTTAAAGGGGCTTTTGAATTAACAAAAATGAAAGAGAAATTGAATCATTTGCATGGAAGAGACACATTTCCAGGGGTGAATCAGTGTGCCAACCACAAGGCACAGACAAACACAAACACGATGAAAAATTCCAGGGGGTTAGCAAAAGTAATCAAAGCAACACCCCTCCCTAAATGAGAGCAGGAAAAACAACATAAGACAGCTCAAAGAACAGAATCTCAGATGGCTCTGACCCAGCAATAGTCAGGCACTCAGCAAGAGTCCCAGGGAAAGAGATCGGCACATGCTTTGTAGACCCTGAGAAAGTGATAATCAAACACACAAGGGAAGGTAAGAATATTCCCAGTTGGTCTCAAAGCCTCCATCAAAGGACAACCGAGACAACTGAGAGCCAGATGGAGGAGTTTTCCCAAGAGCCTGTTAGGGACAGGTAAATATATACACCTATAAAACCAAGACCAAAAAACAATGCAGGAATGGGGGGGGGGCATGACAGAATGTGCATGTGCTAAAATACTGAGTTGGCAGCTATGAGTTGGAAAGGGTGGGGATGACTACACAACCCATAATGCATCACAACCCATTAAACACTTCACCCACAGTGCATCACAAAATATTTAAGTCTACCAAAGTCACATGCTAAGAAAGTAAGGCAAAAACTAGAAAATTCTGTAACCAACTTGAAGTGACTGGTGGAAGAATTAATGGGAAGAGGGAAAGCAGAAATGCATGCAACACTCTGGGCTTACCATCATTCATAAGAAGTCAATACATATTGTCCAAAAATAGAAGATTGGTTATCCTGTAAATAGCTATATTCCTAAACTACATAGTTAAAATGAAAGTTAAAGCATTCAGCTCTATGAAAGGAACAGATGGGAAATTAAGGAAGACAGACCATAACAATGATTTTTTAAGTTGCCATAACTACACCCTTAGCAAACACTGGCAGTATGTAAGGCTCATGTGCCATTTCTAGAGAGACCAATGGCTAAACTCCTGTGGCCAGGAAAGGGTTGCTTAAGGTCCAGTGGAAAACCAATTGACACACAGATTAATCTTTGTGGAGCTTGGTTGTAGACTAGTGGCATTCCTTTTCATAATTACGAGTATTTGATAGCTTCAAGTAATAGTACTTAACCCGTGCTTATTTGGTGATTAAAGAAATTCAGTGATTTTTTTGTTTTGTTTTGTTTTTTCTTTCTTTCAAGCTTATGGCCATTTGCCTTATGAGCAAAACAGAAACAAGTGACAGAGTGCCCTACGACCTTTGTGACATTATCTTTCAACTTTTCACTGTGGTCTTATTGGCTGGTTCCTTCTCATCATCCTGAATATAAATATTGGTGTGCTCAGGAACCAGTGTTTGGGTGTTTCCTCTTTTCTGTCTTTTATTACTCCTTTGATTTCTTTTATATGGTTTCCAAATATTATCAAATGTAATACTCAAACTTGCAGTTTATATATTCAGCCACGATAGCCCTATGGAGCCTCTTACAGACTCCCTGGCCTCCCCAGGTATAGGGAGCCCTATGGAGCCTCTTACAGACTCCCTGACCTCCCCAGGTATAGGGAGGCCAGGCCCACCACACTTAGCTCTATGTTTCTATCACTTTGTCCCTGGTCAAGTCATCAAGTCCTAGATAAAAGAGCAATGGCAATATACCATAACATCCAGTTCCTGGTTTATTGTCATCCTTAGCATCCACTATCATGTGACACATTTTATAGAGAAATACGCTTACCATAGTAGAAGATAACAGGCATAGAACACCACTGTTCCAGTGTTATGGTGGAACTTTACAAAGATTGTTATAAAACACAGTCAACACAACCCACGAAGTGGGTGCTACTATTTACTGCTTTTTATAAAAGTCAAAATCAGTTCAAGGTCACACAGATAAGTGGGCAAACCAGATCCTGAGAAAATGCTGTACCCTAAACTAATGCCCATGTGACCCATCACACTCATTGGCAAGTCATCTCTCTCTCTCTCTCTCTGTCTGTCTCTGTCTCTCTCTCCCCCTCCCTCCCTCCCTTTATTCCTCCTCTTCTCTGTGTGTGTGTGTGAGAGAGAGAGAGAGAGAGAGAGTGTGTGTGTGTGTGTGTGTGTGTGCACGTGTGTGCTCGTGCATGTGTTTCCCATAAAAATAATTGCACTAATTCAAGAAATTTCTGTATTCTTTGCCTTAGATCCGGCAGGCAGAGGAGGTACTACACATGTAGCTGACAATGAATCAACCCTTCCTCTTTGCAGCCTCACCTCTTTTAAGCAAAGATTTAAGCTGATTAACTAAAAAGTCTTTGCTTATAGCATAATTAAGAAGTTTTATAATTTTTAAATATTTTTTTTTGGTAAAGCCATCTATCTACCCGAAGAGTTACAGAATACATCATGAAACAATGCACTGGGCAAGGCATAATTTGAAGTTGTGTTTCCAAAGACAGTTCAGCCACATTCATCATTTACACAGTATTACCATTAAGAAAATGACAGTCAGTTTGGTAAATTCATAAATCATACCATGTTCGCATGTTTAAAATTTTTCAGCAAAGATAAAGGAAAACAATTCACCTTATGTGGGGACTATGGAAACAGGAGTTGGATGGAAATAAACATTCAAACCAAGGATGCAGCTAACAGAAGATGCAGATTCCTTCTGCTATGCTAGCTTCTGTCCCAAATGGGCTAATACTGGGTATGTTATCAGCTGTGTCAGGCACAAGCTGATCTTGTTTTTCTGAGCCATGACACCCACCCTAGGGTGTGGAGAGATCTATTAACCATAGGCATCTAGAGCACATGATGGGGTCATGACTCGATGACCTAAAGGCATCAGTATGTGAAGAAACCCACAGGAGTACTCAGGCATTAAGCCCCGGGAGCAAAACACATCAGGTCCAAGGCAGAAAGAAAGAGAAGTGGCTAGAATGGCATAGTTTGCAGAATTTGTGTTCTGTAAACACCTATGAATGAGAGTGGGAAAGCTGTTGATATACCACAACTTTGAGAATCCATGCTGAGATGTTGCCTTCTCCTACTCTCTTTTGAGTTGATTTGGGGTGGCAGTCTACTTCTCCTGGGTTCCTATAAACACAATAAATATTCACCAGCATTGAAACCGTGTGGGGCCAAAGACATAATAATTTAAAATATCATTCTTCCTTCCAGAGTGTAAAATTTGATTTGGAAAGGAGAGGGATCTGTTCACATTTGGCAAGAGATAACTTTAATAACCCACAGACTAGAGAAACATAATCTGGAGCTATAAGGTTCACTTAAGGCAAGGAGCATGCTCACAAAGGAGAAGCCATTCATGTGAGCTGAGAGGCTAAGGAGCAGGCAGAGAAGTTCATTCAGGAGCAAACTCAGGGTAATGACAAAGTTCAAGTTTCCTTTGGGAAACCATTTGCCAAACAATGGAGAGTAAACAATGGGAAAGTAGATTGGAAGCTAAAGGCTGCCATCAAATGTCAAGTTTGATAAATCAACCTGTTATCTATCTATCCAACCAACCATCCATCCATCCATCCATGCATCCATCCATTCATCTATCTATTCACCCATCCATCTATCTATCTCTACCTACCTCTACCTCTCTCTTCCTTTGAAGTATTGCCTTTTATTTTTCTATATTTTCTATCTCCTTAAACTACAAAGTAGACACTGCAAAACTCAAAGATTTCACTTAGTTTCCTTTAACAGTTAATTTTTTTTCAGAAAAAGACTTGAGAGTTGTATGTTATAAAAATAAATATTAAGCTCTGGAAGTGGAAGGGACAATCTAGTAAGTTTTAGACTTTCCCAGAAAGCAAAATCTGGTGTTGTCTAATTCATTGCAGGATTTCACTTCCATGTTTGACAAGCCACTTTAGACAGAAATAGAGCATGGCTTTGATAAATTACTTAAAGTCAAAGCCCATTAGACATTTGACTTTTAATAACCTCCAACCCTAGTCTAACCATCTCAAGACAGCTCTGTTATTGTGAAGTGGCAATCCAACTGAAGAATTCCCTGGGAAAGTGAAATCCCCAGGCAGAACACAGAGCAGGAAAACCTTCAGAATATAGCAGAAGTCTGGAGTCCCCCTGGTGCTTGGAACCACACAGTGCGTGAAGGACAGTGCCCCTGCTCCAAGCCTTGGCATTCTCAGGAAAGCTACCCATGTTTCCTAGCAGGCAGCCAACCTCACTCTGTCTCCCATCCTACCATAGCTACGCTAACAACACTCACCTGAATGAAGATATACTCATCTTGGACAACCAAGGAGCTAATGTCAATGGAGCGGGCAAAGGGTCCACTCCGAGTTGTCTCAGCACATTCCTGGATCCTGCAGGTGAGGTAGTGGGCATCTGAAAGAGAAAGGCAGGGTGGCATTTACCAACAGGGTAAGTGACTAGCCAAGGCCGACGCTAGTGGTGCATGAAGATGGACATCATGTGGGAGCACAGACTAATAATTTTTAAAATAATAATGAGGTTGTCCTTTCTTGTATAAAGAATTTGAAGTTACTATACCTAGGTTAGTCAGGAGAGTGGGAAAAGATTATTGTCTAATCTCATTTACTACTGGTAAAAGAATAAGTTCATTTAGCTGTGGGAAGACCACATTTGAAGAAGCTATTGGAAATTTACATTCATATGTTTTACAGCACTAATTTTAATTCAAGGAACGTTTCCACAGAAAGACTCATACATTTTCACAGAGAGGAAAGGCAGGGATATTCATTGTGACATTATTCACAGCAATGAAAAACTAAAAATAGGCTAAATGTCCATGAATTAAGGAACACTTGAATGAGCTAAGATATAATGTATGACAGAGTACCATGCTCTGTCATTGAAAAACTTGGTAGCTACATATGCATCGACAGACTTTTTCCATGTATATTGTTTTATCGTGTTTTTTAAAGTGCATTTCCCATTATATGCATGTAGAACCTAATTTATGCTTATAAAAAATATGTCTTTAGGTACATAGGTTTGTTCTACAATTACAGAGAGTAGTGTTTTGAAGGCCTCACATAAACATTAGATATGATTACTTTGGGAACAGGACAGACTTAAGTTATTATATATCATGGTAGTATTGCCTGTGAAATTTACATAATATACGTCTTTATTATGTTTTCTTTTGGGGAGAGCTAAGTATGACTGGAAGGTTTCTTTTCCTTTTTTTAATATAAATTTGAAACAAGGTTGTTTTACATGTCAATCCCAGTTCTCTCACCCTCCCATCTTCCCCTGTCCCTCCCCAACCCCCATCCCATCCCCTTTCTGCTCCCCAGGGAGGGTGAGGTCTTCCATGGGGCATCTTCAGTCTGTCATATCATTTGGAGCAGGGCCTAGGCCCTCCCCCATGTGTCCAGGCTGAGAGAGTATCCCTCAATGTGGAATGGGCTCCCAAAGTCCATTCGTATACTAGGGATAAATACTGATCCGTTACTACAGGCCCCATAGACTTCCTAGTCCTCCCAACTAATACCACATTCAGGGAATCCGGGTCAGTCCTATGCTGTTTTCCAGCTATCAGATGTGTCCATGAGCTTCCCCTTGTTCAGGTCAGCAGTTTCTATGGGTTTCTCCAACCTGGTCTTGACCCCTTTGCTCATCACTCCTCCCTGTCTGAAACTGGGTTCCAAGAGTTTGTTGGCTCTACTTAGCTGTGGGTGACTGCTTCTGCTTCCATCAGCTACTAGATGAAGGCTCTAGGATGGCATATAAGGTAGTCATCAATCTCACTATCGGGAAGGGCATTAAGGTAGCCTCTCCACTATTGTTTAGATTGTTAGTTAGGTTCATCCTTGTAGATCTCTGAGCATTTCAAGAATACATTCACTTACTACTTACATGATATTTCCATGATTATTTGTAAAACAAATCTGTATTCATAGTCACAGCTGTAGCTGAACAACCAAACATCTCTGACACTTAAGTGCATCTACCTATGACTATAGAGTCATCCAAGAAAGTAGCGATTTCAATTTCTTTCTCCTTCAAAAAAATCTTCAAGTCTCTGAGAAAATAGCAACCTGTAAATTGCCTAAAATATGGTTATTGCTCAGTTTATAGAATTTAAAAATAAATGGACAAAATGAAAAGTAGACTGCTTTAAAACTGTAAGTGGAGAAGTTAATTTTTTTTCCCTCACCATTAATTTCCCTTTAAGATAAAAATAACAAAGAAAGTTGTTTTTTTTTTTTTCGGGGGGGGGGGTTGTTGTTCTTGTTCTTGTTGTTGATCATCATCAATCTATAAGCAAAGCTCTGACCTGGCCTTTCAGACCTATAATCTCAGATAGTCAGGGGGCTGAGGTAGGTGATCACAAGTTCAGGGCTGAACCAGTCCATGATGAGACCTCTCTCAAAATAATTGGCTCTAGTTCATTATAAGCAAAGCTGCTGTGAGAACTTCTGGATCTCTAAGTGACATTGTCTATTTCTAATGTGAGATATTCTGATATTTAATTCTTGACAGGAAATTTAAATTTCAAATGTAGTACAGGGCAACTCTGTGTGGATAAACAAGAAGATCAGAGACCAAGAGTGAATTCCTTCCCTCCTTGGCCTTTCACTTACCCCAGTCCACCCCATGAGGGAAACAGACATTTATAAGCCCCTCACCCTGGCTGTGTAATAAGATCACTCTTCCGCTATTTTGAGTGCCTTTTCTCCTTGGCTTTTGTTCATAGATGAAGCCAAGAGTGGCCTGGTTTCCCATTTCCTGCTGACAGGAGAGGAGAATACAGGGATCCCAGGCTGCCCTTTGGAATACAGGGTCTGTCCACCAGGGATATGCTTGGATATACACCAGCTTTCCATTTTGCTCTTTGAATAAAGCACCAAAATACAGCAAAAGGCTGCAGTAAACACGTGTAAGGAAATCACAAATGCCGACATGACAATCTGTGTCCTTGTCAGCTAGTGTCTGGGAAAGCTCTTCAGGCTGGTAATCAAAGGGGCACGTGGGAGGGACACTTGCTGACACTCACGGAAAGGCTCATTCTTCCCTGACTATTTACTATGCTTTTTAAGAATCGAGTCTTTTCAAGGCCACCCCCAAACAAAATCAACACCTACCAAAACCTGGCCTGCGACAAGTGAGAGACAGTGCCAAACTCATCCTGCTTCTTGGCTCTGGCTCTGTCACATGGGATGACAGGTTCAATTTAATAGAACACAAGCGCTGAAATGAGTTGCTGAAATCCACTTCTCATTCAGAGACCTTGCCATCTTTAGCCAGACCTATGTACCGAAGTCTCTATGCTTTGATTTTCCAGAAGATACAACAATGAGTACCATTGTGCCCACCGCCCGACAAGAACTCAGTGGGAGAGAGTGATGAATTATCAGGCAGTCCTGGCTCTAAGCAGAAAAGACTAAGGGTCACAGAAGGACCTTTGGATGTCCAAGATGAGCAGGAAATACCGGATAGGTTCCATATTCCTATCAGATCTCAAGTTGTAAGTATAGTGATAGTCTCACCAAATGAGGATAAAGAGAACTATATATGAAAGTTGTATGATGAAAAGCAGAAGGCCATCTGATGGGAGATGCCATTCTGTATATATGTTTCTCATACTGGTTAATGAATAAAGCACTGTTGGCCAATAGGAAAGGGAGATAGGAGGGACTAGGAGACAAGGAGGAAAGAGGAAGGAGTAAGGAGGAGTCAAGATGGCGAATCTAGAGAGAATAGGTCGCCAGCCGGCTCTCCAGTAAGAGCACATGGAAATATTAGATTAACAGAAACGGGTTAATAATTAAGACAGAGCTAGCCGATAAGAAACTAGTACCTGGCCAACAGCATTATATCATAAACAGAGTCTCGGTGTGTTAATTGGGGCAGGCGGGGTGGCGGGACAAGACCGGCAGTGGGAGGAAAAACTTTACTCCTTACATACGGCTCCTACTCCCTTATAGACATCCATCATATACACAGAAATCCCAAAATAAGCTTCCAATAACCTGGCCTTGTTTGCTTTTAGTAATACCAAGTATTAGACACAGGAAGAAATTCAGATAATGAATGGCCATGTGACACTTGAGGGCCAGGCAGTCCACATCCTGGGCTTGCTTTGTATTAATTACCCTCCGATGAGTAAAAATACATCTCATCTGGGAGGGGTCAACAATGTGAGGTCGTCACTAGTGATGTGGGATATCCTTCTTGGAATATGTGCTGCGAGTGTGTGTTGCTCTTATTGGTTGATGACTAAAGCTGCTTTGCCCTGTGGCAGGAGAGGATAGTTAGGAGGGAAAGCCAAACTGAATACAGGGTAAAAGAAGGCAGAGTCTAGAGGAGAGACATCAGCAGTGGCAAGAGAAGCAAGATGTGAGGTAAAAGCGATAAGCTTTGTGGTAAAAGACAAATTTATAAAAATTGGTTATTTTATATATAAGAGCTAGCTAGTAAAAGGCCTGAGCCATTGGCCAAAACATTTTAATTATTTTTAAGCCTCTGAGTGGCTCTGGGACCAGGCAGGACACAGAAAACCTTCTGGCTACACACCAGGATTCACTACATTGTGTATTAAAATGCTTAGCATATAGTTGAATACATTTCTTAAAATTGATAAGTGTCTGTTATATTTTACTGCAAAGAAAAAAAGAGGAGTTTAGTCATGCACATCCCTCATATACTCATTAATAACAAAGACTGGGTTGCTTCACTGTTGGGGATCAAACTGCTGTGTTAATAGTAAAGTCACATCCTGAGTTTATGTTGCTACAGGCACATAAGTGCTGGGGATACACACAAAAGTAAAAAGCATGGGAAAAATATAAACGAGGAAAAAAGAAGGACCTGGCTTTTGAGTTTAGCCTTTGGATGTGACAGTATGCTATGTGAAGAAGGAATTCCTGGAGACCGATAAACTTTACTTGGACTAGAGTGTAGGCAATGCCTTAGAGCCATACTTCCAAAATGCGTGCCAGATGGCTGACTATATCACACCATTACTACTGACACCGATTCTCCTGTTCTTTATTTGAAACTTCCCTAAGTGGAAAAACAAAACAAAACACAATCACAACAACCACCTCATTTAGATATCTCCATGAGAAAACCAGGTAGTGTATTTCCAAATTGTGAATGCTTTATGACTAACATGTTTCTAAGTATAAAAACATCACGCATTTCTAAGAGCATGGTATGGTGACTGCTCAGCTTACAAAACAGTTAAGCGATATCTCCTCTGCACCATGAATAGGATTTGCTGGGTACCTCTGCAATATCTGGCCCGATTTCCAAGTAGCTGTACTGTAGCAGGATGTAGGGAAAGGCCTCTCCTATGCCAGGTTGGGCCAGTCTCCAAGCATCCTCATCTACAAGAGAAGAGTTTCTTGTGGTGT